CATTCTGTCATAAATTCTCTTTAGTAAAAACTTTCTAAAAAAAAAATATATAATAATTTTTGTTTGTGTGTGTATATTGCAACCCAGTCTCTTGCTACTGGGTTGGTATATTGTCAGTTAAAATCACAACTACAATTTTGATTAGTGACAATGTCGCCATCTAATGGGTGCATTTGGAAATGTTGACGTTTTTCAATTTTATTTTTACCTTGTTGCAAAACTTTTAATATTATAATTACAAACACGTTTAGTTCAGACATACCTTATTTGTACCCATTTAGATTTATAAACAATACAATATTTTATAAAGGTACTAGATACACCAGGATTGCAGTGGATTGTTAGATCTGGGGGAAAAATGATAATAATGGGATTAACTACACTAAAGAAAAATTTGAGAAAGTGACTACGCATCTAACAGTACTGTACAATACTAAAGTAAGTATAGTAAAAAAAGAAACCATTCTACTTAATATTTAACTTAAATATTTTTTCACAGTATAGATTGGGTCTTTAAACAAGTATACAGTAGCTGGCTTTTAAATTTTCTGGTAAGGGTCCCACACACAAGGATCATATCTGAGAGTTGGATCATTTTGGGGGTCTGTGGCATTGAAAATCCATGTCACCTGGTAAATAAAGCCAAGATGAACAGAACGTATTTCACTGAGCTGTGCTTTATTTCTTGGTCAGGTTTGTAAGAGCAATGCATTCAAGCAAGTTTGTTGTCTAACCAAAACATCTTAAACCAGCCTAAGATAGCCAGCTGGTCTCTCAGCCTACCAAGTATCTTAACCAACCTCTTGCTACCTTGACCAGGCAAGGAGTCCACTTTAGGCTCCAGGGAAGACTTTTACAATGTTATTGCCATTCAGAACCCTGTTTTCATGGCACTAGCGCGGTTTACACTTTGAAACGCACTTCATTTAAGATTAGAAACTCAATATTTAAAAGCAATGACACGCTTAATGTTACACTTGCTGTTCATCAGTGGTGCCACCTTGTGCATGTTCTCCGTGTCCATGTTAATAACTCCTCCTGCTAGAGAGAGAGAGAGACACGGATCTCAGCACAGGGGGGAGCTGTCCGGAAAAAAAAACACCAACAACACCCCGAATAAGAAAAACTGCCCCGGGTTGGTGTCCTTTTTCGGCGTAGACGGGTGACTTGACTTGTTTTAGACCAGAGATTTGTGTAAATGCTAAGTACAACAGGATAAGGTTTGAGGGACGCGTATTTTTTCTTGGTTAAGTCACCTCGCCAAATGAACTCCGTCAGAGCGAGCAGCAGGAGACCCAGGCGAGTGTCGAGGCCGCGCCCGGTGCAGCCGGAAAGAAACAACGCAGAAAGAGGTGAGACGGGGACCTTTAATTCAATAACACTTCAATGGTGTGCCGTGTCGTGTACGGTACTTTATCTGCATGACCCGACAGTGCCACTCCGAAGCCGCAAGGCCTGAATAAAAGGGTTTGTGTGCAGAGCGTCGAGGCGCATATAAACAGGCCAGGCCGCGCTTTGTTTGGGCTTCACGAGCCAGAACCGTAAACGGCTAGCTTTTAACACACTTAACGTACCACCTTTCCGGGTAGGCTTTAAACTTAGAAACAAGGTGACAAGGTAAATATTGATTTACCTTTGCTATAAGCCACCTCTCATAGGTGGAAGAGAGACGTGAGAAGTGGATTTAGGCATGCAAATCTGCGCTGCGTAGCTGCTAGGATCCAGTGTGGGCTGCCTGCCATTGATACACAACACTGTCCGTTTAGACCAAACACTATCACAGTTACTTATCTGCTTATTGCACCGCATTAGTACCTTGAACAGCTTTGTTCGGTTTTGGTTCGCTTTGAATGCAGTAGCTATGAA